TAAAGTAAATAAATTACGCGTTCGTGCAATAAACGCGGAGGAAGACTTTATCAATAGGTCATTATTTAAGTGTATGATTAACTTCGTAGCCTGCTCGCGCACTTTTTTTATATTACTCAGAGAAAAAGAAACTTTACCTAAAGATACTGAATGGTCGATATTTTACGCTGTGGATTTTAAGATAAAGTGCACAGTCAAATATTAGTTCTATATATCCCATTTTTTCAAGCAAATTAAAGATTAGATTTCAAGGATTCAAAATAAATTTTTATGTGATTCTTATGAATAAAATTAATTATATTTAACATTATAGTACAATGAAACAAATGTAGAGAGAAAATAAAATTTTGAAGTTTAAAATAAGATTACGGTGGTGTGGGTGGTGTGTTTAATTACGGCAAAGCACACTAGGGCTATCTGCCTAAGGGAGCGATGCCTTCGTGGAGGACTTTCTGAAGGAAACTGGCTCGTATACACGTTATACATGGGGAAAACCACGAAAACACCCATGCAGCCAGCCCTGTTCGCGGGATTCGAACCTCGGACAGAACTACCAGTGTTCAGCGATTTTACTGCTCGGCCGCTGGTGGGCTAAAATAAAATAAAATTACGAAACAGAGGTTTATAATGAAAGTGAACTCTTAAGAACTGTGTCTTATTAAAGTGAATGTAACAATCACATTCACGTGAATACATATTTTACCATAGCAGATTTAGAACGTTAGATCAATTAATTTATTTTATTCTCTTAAAAACATTTTCTCATCGAATTTATTCAGCCCTTTTCCAACTAAGAAAATAAAGGCATTTCTAATTTATGGCATTTATAAAATCAGTATTAATTTATTAAAAACATAAATTTTAATATTACAAAAACCTCATTCGCAACAAGTTCAGTAGTACATTATTACATTATTTTCATTTTTCACAATAATTTGAGACCAAATTAAATGAACAGAAAAGTATTTCTAACAACAACTATACAAATTTAGACGAATTTAAAATTGCGATAATTTTAAGTCTAGTCCTTATGTTAAGCAGAAGCAACATATAATACGTTAGAAATGTTCATGGGTTCATATTTTTTGAAGTGTTGTTATTTTTCATGTAAAGTTTAATGTTTAAGAGTTCTTTTCTTTCTGTTCCCAAAGCTCATCCCATTAGAATAAGAATATGTGGAAGTTTCTAAGTACGTAATACCAGTAAAAGTTTCCAAATGAAAAAATATGCGAGGTATCAACCCTAAATAATGATTTCTTCAGGTTAGGCTCGAAAGAGTAATCTACGTAAATTGTTGTTTTAAAGGCACAAATATGCTTTTAGTTGTGAATCTGTTACTGAAAGAAGTGAGGGAGAAAATTAGTCATTTTAATTGCGTTTGCTTATGATTATTTGTTACTGTTTTTATGTAAAAATTTAGTTTTTTTAAACTCTTTTAAATATATTAGTGAATATAGTAGTCCTAGCTATAACTACTGCTTACTGCATTTTAAGAAATCTGAGCTGGAAACTCAGTTGTATATACAGAATTATTGATTATAAGCACAACATAATAATTACTACTTTTTGCTTAGCCTCTGTTTAAAGTAAGAGTTGCTAAAATATATATGCTGCTTTTTAGGAAGATATTATACACAAATATATGAAAGAAACTTTATACCAAAATTGGTATATCGTAAAAATATGAATAAGCAAAATTTTAAGAGGGTATTAAGCAGCGTTATTATAAATTTAGCCACACAAATCAATTTAACTAAGAAACCTAAATGCAGATACAGCTTATCACATATAATTATATAAACTTCGCACCTTAAAGATCATAATTAAATAACAAATCACGGGTAAATATCTTATCTAGTTGCAAGGTTTACGCATATCCAATGCCAATAATAGACATTTTATGGCTTTCGCATTTTTGGCATAACTCTGGGATCCCCGTCGAGAACGTAAAATAATATAATGTGCCACACTAACTGCTATCGGGATAAAAACTTTAGAACTATAACTTGTAATGGGAAGCCATCATGCCCTCTGCTGCTATAAACAAGTGTTTTATATATTCACGACCACGTCTTCAGTTATGGGACTCTCATTGCCACGAGACTATTGAATGGACCGCCGCTGCATGGTTTAAAAACATTAGACGTTTATTTTTACGTTATATTTTCGTGCAAAAACCGTACCCTTGACCTCCAAGTTGAAGTCTATGGAATTTTTAAAAGGTTCATTTCGGTTTAGTTGAAAATGGGTTGGGTTGCCTTCGGTCCGAGAATCATTTTCTATCATTTAGGTGCTTTGTTAAATGCTGATGAACATGACCGGCGCGTTTGGTGTTTGGCGAATATCGCCACCTCCTGAAGTGCATAAATAAAAAGAAATTATATAATAAATTTAAAAAAAACTGAAAGTGAGAGAGAACCAAAACGCTTCAAAAATATATTGCTCAATAAATGGGCGTTTCTCGAGCAATATATTTCTGTGGCATCCAGCTCTTGACATTTCTTTGTAACATTTAAGGAAATTTGCTATCAAAACCTCCTCAGGAATATTATTTTGATAATAAATACCTAAATGTAGATTCTCATCAGCATACCGTAAGAATAAGAATGGAAAATTTACTTCACTTTTGACTAAAAACTGCTAAGTACAATGTAGAATTCGAAAGGGAGAAATAATAGAAAAATGAAATTAATGTATATGTGCTAAATCCAAATCAATATTTAGTACATTTTACTTTCAATAAATTTATCCTGAATAACTTAAAAAAATTAAATGCTGATATTTATCAAATGCTGTATAGAAAACATTATAAATTTTATTCCGTGCAAGCGCTTCCTTAAAACAACGTTTTGTAATAATATAAGAATAAAGTTATTCAACATAAATAATGTATTCAAATGCTTATTTTAGAGAATCATTAATCCTTTATTCCGTTTCCAGTGAAATTTTTCAGTCTAAAAAGTATTATATTTGAAACATAATAAATTATTTTTAAGCTTTTTATTGAAGCATTGCAGACAGCATTCGAATGCTTTTCCGTAATCAAGTAAACCAAACCAAACCAATATATTGAAGCACTTTTTGTATTCAAATATTTAAGAACAGTTAATTAATAATAATTAAAACAAATTAAAACGCAGTAAAATATATTAATACTTAGGACTTCCTGAGCTAGTTTTCAGAACATTTGAATAAAAGAAGATCAATGTAATTTTTATTTATTTATTTATTTACTTATTATTATTACTATACAAATATTATCGCAAAATTTCTTTAATATCACAACTATTTGGACTGGAATGAAGAAGAGCATGTTAAAGCATTTTATTTTTCAGTGTAATAAAAGCTTCTTATTGTTTAATAATTAAGTATGGAGCATAAAATATGAATCAGTTCACTTCTTTTCTTCAGATCGTCTCAATACTTCTGTCATGTTATTCTATTTTTCAGTGTATATAGGAGTACTGACGTAATTCAGTTATCTATTGTTTCTTATCTTTTACTTCTTTGTAAAAAGTAAGGGATATATTGCAATCGCGAAAAATTTCGGTGTCATATTTCAACGGAAATATCCATTTTGACCATTTCCGAATACATTTAGAAGATTTTTTTCCCGTGATGTCTGTCCCTATGGACAACCCCTCGGGGAATTTACTCAGGAGAATTCCTGGGAAGTACTGGGTGGGATCTGTACTTATGCAGTCTCAACCAAAGGGTACACGTTGACTCTTCACAAGACTAAACCTCCGTTCATTCGGGGGAGGGTTCAGGCTGCCTTTTGGCTATGGGGTCGTAACATTATTAAATATCGTGACTGTCCTTGGGCGGTTTGGTCCCTTTCGGTTTCCTCGGGGTGACTGACATTTCAGATGGAACACCTTCATTCTTCATTTACGTTGCGGCGGCCGGAATAGCACTCGGTAGTAGTGTGGTCGTTGCCCAGTGGGGACTGCGGAGGCTGCGCTCGCTTGGATGGTCTCCGGAGTCTGGAAGGTAATTCCCGAAAGGTTCAAATGCTGGGGCGGGAGTTCGCCACTGGTAACCCTATGGACAGAGTGAAAGATGCTTTTTTCCAAAACGGATTCTAAAATTGATTCAAAAGGGATTTTTTCGTGACGTCTGTACGTACGAACATACGGTACGTTCGTATATATGTATGTAACTCGCATAGCTCAAAAACGATTAGCCGTAGAACTTATGTATGGAAATTTTATGTATGGAATTACTATAGCATTAGTTGTGCACTTTCCTTTTTTATTGCAATCGACAGCACCAAACGTAAATATCTCTCTCTCTCTCTCTCTCTCTCTATATATATATATATATATACCCTTTACCCAGCTTAAAAGTCTTTAATCGGTCTTTATTTTCGCAGTTGCTGATGGTAGTCATACACCTTCAACAACAGAACTGTTTTAAATGACGAAAATACTCATGTTTTGCGATTATCCGGTTAAATTTAAATGAAGAGCAGCAGAAAATGTGTGCAACTTAATAGGCCGTATAAGGGGGTCATGCGGTGCCCACATTAGATTGTTTTCCTTTAGTCGCAATCATCATACGTATTATTTTCTAGCAAAATTCCTTTTATGCCTGTACTAATGTAAGAAAATTTCGCGAATACTAGGGTGTTTTGATTAAATACGAAAAATTAATATCTTAAACCTTGTCGAATGGCAACACGCTGGTGCGTGGATGATAGAAATGTTTGATTTAAAACCATAATAACACAGTGCTTTTAAATGGTTGAGTATGTTGATAAAAAATTCATTAAACACGCGCCAAACATAAAACAAAATTTTAAAAAAAATTCGAAACTCAAACTTCTGCTTCAAGGTGTGAATGTGTCCGGTGCAAGGTTATGTGTGTTCAAAATTCTGTGGCTTTTAATGACATCGCCTTTCTATAGTGCGACAAACAAGCGTGCAGATTTTTCATTTTTTAATGATTTTAATTAATTTGTAATATTTTAATGTAAGGCTTTTCATAAATCAATTTACCTTGCTTCTCTTTCAGCATTTTTTGCAGACTGTTTCTTTAATAGATTACAAGATGCAAATTCTTTATGCAAATGAGCAATGGCAGCCCACACAGTCATCATAGACATTCTTTCTATGATGACTACTTCAGCAGAGCTAAAAATAGTCTGAAACCATGTTTAGTAGTCCTAGCGAGACCCATGAGTTGCATACTTGAATAACATACAGCTTATGGGACTTCGCAGGAAATAAAACATTGGAATTAATTAATTGTGAACGACCATAAAAGTCTATGCCTTGCTATTTCACTGATAGTTAAATGACCTAGGAATCTACTCTCTTGAAAATGATAGAACAAAATGTAATTTTAAGTGAAATATTACAAAATGCTTAAATGGCTTAAAACAGTAGTGCACCCTTCAATTTAAAATCCTTTTTTCCTATTAAGTTAACAAAATAACGTCTCACGACTGTTATTCGAAATCTGTGTGTGACTTATTTTCTACTTTCTATTACCATCAGTAGAACATTATTTGTACCTAAACAGTACTAATGAGAATTTCTTGGTCATTTTCTAGAATTCTAAGTGCTCGGACGACATTTTCTGAAAAATGCAACACCAGAAACCCATTTCACAAATGAGTTTTTAGAGACGGCTTGCCCCCTCCCTTTTTCTAAAAACCTTCAGTTTTTACTACAACATATCTCTCGGTAGTAGATTCAAAGACCTTTCTTGCCTGACCTCTGACCTCGTGAGAAGGTTAGCAGAGGTTAACGATCCCAGGGTCCAAAGAAAAATCTCTGGTCTTCCTGGGTGAGTTGACCATTCCTTCTCTCGGTTTGCAAGGGAGTGGTGAACCAGATAGGGTGAATGTACTCATAATCAGGCAAAAGAAGTATTCTGTCGACTTCATTCATCCCCCCATCCCTGTAAGAAAACACTCCTCACAAAGCGCCAAGTTATTTAAAATTTTTAAAGGGTGACCATGCAAAAATAATGGCACACTCTTGAATGTTCCACACGTTGCATGGGAACTTGCAGTTATGAGGTTATTTTTATGCACTGCGTGAGACTGATGAGTTGTAAAACTTGTTGTTCTCTTTTCTTTTTCTCTACAACCCCTTGTCACGTGTAGGTTATGATTACTTCTGTCTTCTGATAAAATATTCTAAGAAACTGTTCAGCTTATCTCCTCAAAATTAAATATTCTGATACATATCTTTGTACAGTCCGTGCTTACATTTTAAATTTTTTTCCTTAGAAGAAATTATAGCCATGATTCATAGTTCACTGTATACTTAGGACTTCCTTTAATTTCCACCATTTACATAGATTATATGACAGGCGTACAGAATATTTATACACCAATGTTCTTTTACGCGTTATTGCGTAATAAAATGCCAAAAATGCGACTTGAAATCTCTTCATCCAAGAGCTTTAGCAAGAAATTGACTTTGAGGCAAATTATTTAGTGATGTTTGTGGAAAACGATATAATGATTTTGCCGTTTCATAATGTTAATTTATTTATACTTCAAGCTATTAAGTATATTTATGTAATCAAATTGCATCAAAAACTGCATGCTTAAGATATCATAGGATCCATTTGAATATTTTATGAAACAAAATTCAAATTAGTACATAATATGTGTAAAAGATACTGTTCATAATATTTAAAGTTTAATTTGCTTTTTGTTTCATAATATAATCAAATATACTATATGGTTATTCTGATAATTTTTAATTTGTTTTTCCTTCATCAGTTCGGGAAAGCTATTATTTTCTGAGTTTTTAAACTTTCAGAATATTTACAAACAAGTTTTATATGGTATTATTCTGCATAAAAATTAAATTAAAAATTTCCGGTGCTACTTCGAGTATATTTAGTAATACATATTTGCTATGAATGTAAATAGTACGTTAAAATTAATACATATTTGTTCTGAATGCAAATAGTATGTTAAAATTCGGTGAACCCTCTCCAAAACGACCGGCTACGGTTCCAGAGGATTCTAGTCTTATGTTAAGATGATCGCTTTAGAAAAATTATGCATATCGATATTTATTTAGGTTAAAAACATGATGATCATGCTGGTCATCATGCTGGTCATGGTTATAATAGCGAATGGGTCGCCACGAGAGGGTTAATTGCATATGAAAAGAAAGTTTTATGGAATTTTGTTTGATGGTAACATCAAACTCTTATATTTATTCGCTATCACGAGTTTGGTAACATTACCTATTTTTAATTTAATGACAGTTGTTTATAAGAAGATTGGAACATATAAGCTCGTATTAACACGTATACTTGCTTAATTTTCACTGCAGCAAAAAACCTGCACTTAACTATCTTTAGAAATATCGAAGTGTGTAACTTAAGAGGGGAATTTTCAAATTGTACAAAAGAAATTTCAAACTCAGTTTGAAGATACTGTTAACGTTTTCGAAAGAAGAAGCATGGAAACTCCCCGAGATTCAAACTATGGATCTTCCAGTTGACGGCTGAACGCGCTAGCCATTTATAGAAGAAAGCGTGCCATAATTCCTTATATTTTCTCTCATTTAAAAAGCGATTAGAAAGAGACATGAGCTCTAGTTGAAATAATCCAAAGAGTGTTGAGTTGTAATTCATCGTATTTGAGTATGACAACCGCCATTAGATATTTCAATGAAAGAGAATAAAGTAATCGTGCTTTGGCGGGGATTAAAATTAGGGATATTATAAAGCTAGCTGGGAGTGTTAACCATTTACACCTTGAAAGGAGCAGGAGGGAATGCATTAATTTTTTACAAAATATTCTTATCCTCTTATTCTGTATTGATTTTCTATGAAATACTTTTAGGATCTTCTTTTTCAAACAACCATAAGAATATTTTGAAATTCTTAACTGGTTGATAGAATTCGAGAAATTATTATAGACAAGCCAAATCCGCAAAATGAATATTTCATCCGAAAATAGCGCTAACTATTAGTATTTAACGTTCCAATACCTTTTTGTTTCTTTACTGTAGGTGACAGGCTTATGCAGACAGTCATTTCGAGTTTAAAAAATGTAAATTTTTTTCTGACATCTAGTTGCGCTGCTTTCTAATGTATATTTACAAAGATGATACTTTATTTTTGTGCACTTAAAGATACAAATAATACCCCTAAATATGGTGAAAGTAAGCTCGATTGCGTGAATGCCAGGGTAATTACCAAAGCATTCAGCATGAAAAACATATTTCCCAGCATGCAACTTATCAAGGTTAAGATTAGTTGACTGATGATCGAAAATGCTTCTTCTCGTGCAAAACCAATAAATGTCTCTTTGTCAAGGTTGCTAAAGGTCATCTGCATCAGAAACATTCGTAAAACAGCTGCTTCTGTTATTTATATTTTAAACCCGTGTCAGGCAGAAATATCGCGTCGAAAATAAAGCTGCGGATTATTAGATAGCTTTTACTAGTCTAAAATTACGTTTTACATGAGCTTTACTAGATCAGCCAATTTTACAGTTCAGTAAAAGATTCTTAATAGATTAAATAACCATAATTCCTTTTGAATGAACGACTTAAATGTCATCAATATAGTGATGGAAGATGTTAAAAGGCTGGGCAAAATGATTTCACATCTACCCACACATTTTAAAATAAAATATATATTGTATCACGGGAAAAAAAAAAAAAAAAAAAAAAAACACCCGATTTAGAGCGCACGATCGGTTTTATGAAGTTTTCGCTTGAGCATCAATTTCCTAACTAGGCAATTTTATTTAAGTTTTTCTGTTTGTTTACTGTTTTCTGACTGTTTGCTTGCTTAGGTCAAATCTTAAAGAAATACAATTTCTATCCTTTTCTATTGAGCTGATTTTCTTAATTTTTTTATACGTACGTATTTGGGATGGTAATATAATATTCCACAGCAATGTTTTCAAAATTCAATATAGATTTTTTATAATGTTGAACTTTTCTCATACACACTTCATTAAAAATAAATTAATTGTATTAAAATTTCAATCTTGGCAACTTTAGGTAGAAAAAATAATACTCTTCCGAATTAAATTCTTTTGGAATTTCTTACCCAATTTCGGACTGATTAGTTTAATTCCGGTGATTTTGAAAAATCTTTCGATTATTTTAGCTATAAAAATGATGGATTTTTAATTTAAAAGAAGTTTTTTAACAAATCTTGATTTTCTATGGCAATAAATTCGGATCTCTAAACTGAAAATAAAATTTTTAAGAAGTTGATACATTGGGAAATTTGAAAAACGAAGACATTATGGTCAGAGCATGATTTCACGGCTAAGAAACGAATTTCCTACGTTCAAAGACAGTTTTCAAAGACAGACACTTTTCTCTTTTTAATTTTCCTCGTGCAATAGACTAAGTTAGTTTTCATTGAGTTGACTATCACATTAATTTCTAATGAATATGATAGTTGTGAAAAACGACATTCTTCAGTAACAAAATAGTTAATCGATCAGCACATTAAATTGCCATAGATTGGAAAGATCTTTAGATGGAAAGAGACACACTGAAAATTGCTAAATTTACTCTTTGAAGCAAGAGAAGGGCTCAGTTTTACACTTTCATCAGCTTTAAACCGGGGAAGAAGACTACTTGAAAAAAATTGCGGCAATATATCTAAACGTTTTAGTTCAGGAAGAAAAAACTGATTAAGAATCTCTCCATTTCTGAAAAAGCTAAATATAAATTTACTTCTTACTATTTATGTGGCATTTTCTGTATTAAAACTTTTAGTTTCTGGTTTAATGAAACTTAAAAATTAAACTAAAAAAATCAGGCTTTGAACAAAATATTGTAATGTTTAGACTGTAATAAATATATGTTGTAAATTCCATATCGATATCATGTTTATAAAGCTTTAAAATTTACCAATTTAAGTACCTTTTATTTAAAAGAAAAAATTAAAAAATACTTTATATTATAATTTTTATTGTTCTTAAATCGAAGCAAAAATCTGCAATATAATAAAAATTTTTAAAGGAAGAATACGACGAGCGATTATTAAAATATTAATACATGATTATGGCCAAACTATTTGAGAATCAAAAAGTAACCCTCTGGGAAAATGTCCTAACTATAAAAGATTATAATTTTTATTAAAATGTGA